TGATTTGAACAGAATTGGAGGTGAAAAAGAGTCCAAACTTGAGGAACATCGTCAATGGCTTAACGATGCAAACAACAGGTTTGGATTATATTATACTGACAATTTCATCATCAATGATAACCATTTCCGATGCAAATGATCGCTAACGGTAGTCGCAATTAACTGATCACTTCCAATTCAATTTCTAGAGTGAACGATTTGGAGAATGTAATCAAGGATAAAGATGGTTGCATCGACTCATTGCAAAAAGAAATAGAAGAACTTAAAACGGTCAAATTGGTAACACCTGAAGGTGACTTAGAGGGCGAACTCAAACAGGTACATATCATCTGCTGGTCTAGTTTTCATCGTTTCGGATCTAATGGATAGAGCCAATTGTGATCAATCTATTTGTTTTTTGTGGTATGCAATGATTTAAACATGGTTGTTCAGGTTCGTGAAGCAATGCAGAAAATCGAAGACGAACTGCACAATGCCCAAAAAGCACTTAGCGAAGCGCCGAATGTCGATGAATTTAAGTAGGTTAACACAATGGTTCAGCGAATCTTTAACACTTTTTGTCCGCGAATCTCCCCGACAGTTTCAACAAGAGGATATCTACACATTAATTTGCCACTTTCTTGTTTATCAAATGATTAGATGAGAAAACTAGTAGACGAACTGCACAATGCCCAAAAAGCACTTAGCGAAGCGCCGAATGTCGATGAATTTAAGTAGGTTAACACAATGGTTCAGCGAATCTTTAACACTTTTTGTCCGCGAATCTCCCCGACAGTTTCAACAAGAGGATATCTACACATTAATTTGCCACTTTCTTGTTTATCAAATGATTAGATGAGAAAACTAGTTGCTGGTCTAGTTTTCATCGTTTCGGATCTAATGGATAGAGCCGATTGTGATCAATCTATTTGTTTTTTGTGGTATGCAATAATTTAAACATGGTTGTTCAGGTTCGTGAAGCAATGCAGAAAATCGAAGACGAACTGCACAATGCCCAAAAAGCACTTAGCGAAGCGCCGAATGTCGATGAATTTAAGTAGGTTAACACAATGGTTAAGCGAATCTTTAACACTTTTTGTCCGCGAATCTCGCCGACAGTTTCAACAAGAGCATATCTACACATTAATTTGCCACTTTCTTGTTTATCAAATGATTAGATGAGAAAACTAGTAGTTAATTACAGCTGGCTGAAATCGGAACACGAGCGTTTATGTAACGAAATGAATGAAAAGAATCGAATCATCGATGATTTGAATAGAATCCGTGACGAAAAAGAATGGAGTCTTGGTGAACATCGTCAATGGCTCACCGATGCTAATAATAGGTATATATTTTCAAGAAGTTCGACTGAATATCAGTGCACACTATCGACAAGTTGAACGTCTAGTCATTGAACGTCTTTTATTTCTACTATGAATACGAACGTATTTTAGAGCTGATGGTCTTGAGAATGCATGCAAAGATAAGGAGAATACCATCGAATCATTGCGTAAAGAGATTGAAGAGTTGAGAAGTGTTACTTTGGAAGCTCCTCAAGCGGCAGTGAGGATAAAAACTCTTGAAAGTGAATTGCATGATGCTCAACAGGCTCTCACGGAGGGACCAAAACAGGACGATGTCAAGTAGGATAATACACTGTTGTTATATTGGTGAAATAATAGTGAAATGCACTTTTCGATGAGAAACAAGTGATCAGCTAGTGAATTGAATAGTTGCGACTAGCCAGATTGTGAACATTATCAACTCTGCTAGCACGTATTCATTTCCAAGTAATCAAGAGATCGATCGCAACATGACCAAGTCTAAATTCCAGTGCACTTCGATCAGAAAACGATCGTCTCACAAACGAGATTAATGAGAAGAATCGAATCATCGATGATTTGAACAGGATCCGAGATGAAAAGGAATGGACACTGGGAGAACATCGCCAGTGGCTCAATGACGCTAACAATAGGTTCGTTTTTCTTGTTTTCCTTGAATTTACCACAACACTCGCTTTACACCAAACTCGCGAACGCATCCGAGTTATTTTCATTTAAGGGCAAATTCGCTCGAAAACGCTCTCCAGGACAAGGATCGAACTATTGATCAGCTCAAAGAAGAGATCGAACATCTGAGCAGTATGACATATGAGGCTTCATTGACGGCTGTTCCTGATGATGAATTAAAGTTAGTTTCCGCGACTAAAAAGTGAATATTGCAGCATTCCTGAAAGTCTATCGAGCCAGACGGTGTGAACATGAAATCAATCCATACTGATATTGTGACTGATCAACAAACAATTATTTCAGACGTTGGCAGAGTGAAGTTGACCGCCTTGGGAATGAGATAAATGAGAAGAATCGTATCATTGATGATTTGAATAGGATCAGAGATGAGAAGGAATGGAAACTTGGAGAACATCGTCAATGGCTTGAGGATGCGAACAACAGGTCTGCCAATTATTATGCTAACGCATTTCACTGTTTGATCAACATATGTCAATTGTAGAACCTCGTTTGGGTATTCATTCATTCTGTTCTGTGCATTTATTCATTCCAGAGCGAACGGTCTCGAGGACGCACTCCGAGATAAGAACAATGAACTTGATGCACTTCACAAAGAGATCGATGAACTGAAGAAAACAATACCAGAATCCGTTGAAGCAACACCTGGAGTATCTGTTGATGAATTCAAGTAAGTGTTACTATGAGCTTCTCTGGAATTTTGCTGATTTCGTGATATTACTGTCATGTATGATTCATTTCGATTCTGGAATTTTGAGTAGCATAATTCCCTAATTTAGCCACCTGAAAAGTGAAGTGGATCGTCTAAACAATGAAATGAACGAAAAGAACCGTATAATCGATGATCTAAA